GGTCTGGAGGACCAGAAGGATGTGTGGAGGGCGGGTCTGGAGGACCAGAAGGATGCAAGGAGGATGGGTCTGGAGGTCCAGAGGATGCATGGAGGATGGGGCTGGAGGACACAGACCTAGGGGTTGGAGTAGATTTGTTTCCTGCAATGGTTTGTCATTTTGTTTTGAAAATCCAATGTAACACCTGCCCATATAACATCCTAAGACATGTTCATGTTTTGACAAGATTAGGACCCATTCTGTGCACCACATGGAGGTAAGGTAAGTATAGAATTCACTGGTGCCTTCTCTTATCTTGCCTCACATTATGTTTTAAAATAACTGTATGGTGATTATCACCAGTGTAGATAAGTGGCTTTCACATTTACCACTATTGAGGTTTCTTCATTGTTCTGTCACTCTAAACTCTGCATAGAAAGAATTCAGGCCAGTGAACACGACCTCAAATCTTGGAGGGGAAGTTGGGGGATCAGACTTTCTATTTAGATGATCTGTTATTCGACTGTTTTCCTAATAGAAAATCCAAGCAAAACTCTTTCCACAGTATTCCATAACTGCGCCCTTGCAGGCACTGCAGCCAGCCTCTGTGGGTGTTCTGTTCCTCACCACAGAATGGATGCTTGATGAGGGCAGCGGGCAGCATTCAGTATGCTTAGCATAGTTCTCTGCCTGTCATGGTCCTGAGCACATGTTCAACCACTGCTGGCTGAGTCTAGCTTAATGCAATCCACACCCTCCATTCTTGATCATGATCTGTTAACTGGAGGGACCAGGCACATCTGAGGTGAGCAGTGGCAGCAGGTTTCTCATTGTGCAGATACAAGTGCATATCCTGCCTGTGTTTACACATACACATGAAACCTCCATTAGTTCCATTTATAAGTAACAACTGCTTTTACTTTTTTCAAGAGTGGTCAATTCTGTAATTTCTATTCCCATGTAAGGAGACCTTTTCTGTGCTCTAAACTGCTTAGAATTAAACAGATGAAAAGAATGTTGTAAAATTCTTTTGCTGCCATTCCATATCTATGTCTGATCTTTAAAAGTATGGACTCAGCCCGGCCGGTGTGGCACCTATGAACCAGGAGGTCACGGTTCGATTTCCAGTCAGGGCACATGCCTGGGTTGTGGGCTCAATCTCCAGTAGAGGGCATGCAGGAGGCAGCAGATCAATGATTCTCTTTCATCATTGATGTTTCTATCGCTCTCTCTCCCTCTCCCTTCCTCTCTGAAATCAATAAGAATATATATTTTTAAAAAGTATGGATTCAATTGCACAAAAATACAGCCCAAGTAATATGTGTACGTTCTCCATAAAGACTTTGCCAAATATGAAAGCGCAAGCTGTGCCTCGGTGGGGAGCATAGGCGCTGTGTGAGCTGGGTCTGGCAGAGACTGGGTGGGGGTGGTGGGGGAGGCGCACTGTGTCTTCTCAGAGTGCAGCACTCTCTCATGAGGTCAAAAAGTGCCCTGGGTGTGATTCCTACACAACGCATTGCCTCTTCCAGGAAACCTGACAACCAAGAAAGAGTGAGCATGACATATGGGAAAATGCAAGAAAATAATTGTTTTCAAAGCAGGATCCAGGCATTAAAACTGAACAACCTTTCTTAAAACTATCAAAAATGAAATAAAGCAAATTCAAGCCTTTGTAAGTGCTTGATTTTTCATGTAGTCTTGCCAGTTTCATGGATTTTTCCACATCTTTGTGTTGTTTTTCCCCCTTTGTATGCTTTCAATTCAATTCAACTAATGTTTATGGAGCACTTACTGGAAAGTAAAACAGGCACGGCTTTGTGGTGAGAATGAACACATAGAGGACCACAACCATTGTCAAAAATGTAATGAAACCCAAGCATCAGGAAAGCCATGGGGTCCCCTGCTCCGGAGGGCAGTGTTGAAAAGTCCTGAGAGGCAAGAACTGAGCCTGGATCTGGATGATGAAATGGAAGGTCTCCAGCTGGAGAACTACTTGTGTTGGGGTGAGCTGCTGTGGGACCTGGGTCTGAGAAACAGCATGCAACAGCCCTGCACCTAGTAAACACCCAGACCTCTCAGGGTTCCGCACCAGCACTGGGAGCATCAGTGAGTCTTCTTTCTGGTACAGTCCACTTTTACTGCTCTTACTGCAGTGCTACTAAAAAGTATGGTCGGTGTATGGTATTGTACATAGAAAACCCTAAAGACTCCACCAAAAAACTTCTAGACTTAATATATTAATTCAGCAATGTAGCAGGATACAAAATTAACACCCCAAAATTCATAGCATTTTTATACACCAATAATGAACTCACACAAAAAGAAACTAAAAAAATATAATTT